AGCTCTCTGATCTTCAAGTCGAAGGACAAAGATGGTCAAGCACCGGCGCGCTGGCTTCCTTCGTTCAGGGCGCCCAACCTGGGGTTCGGACATTCACCGAGGAAGATATCAAAGAGACTTCGGATAGCAAGCTTTTGGACCTAAGGAAGGAGATGGGCGATCTCAAGCTATACGAGGGCTGGGTACCGAATGGTAAGTTGTTAAATAGGTTATAGTCGCACCTATTGTAACGTCGTAGCACTAACCATACGCAGATATCAAGATTACCCCTGAACGTGTCTATGCTCTCACTTTTCATCCAATACAGGATAAACCAATTATCCTAGCAGGTGACAAGAAGGGGACCTTGGGGTTCTTTGATGCCTCGCAAGAGACGCCCAACCAGCCAGACGAGGATGATGAGGATGTCGATATTCCCTTACCACAAGTGAGCGCCTTTGAAGTGCACAGTAGGACAATCTCTTCCATAAAAGTACCCACGTTCGACCCGAATTCGGTCATCACCAGTTCCTACGACTCGTCAATACGTTGCCTAGATTTGCAGTCCCAAGTCAGTAGTCAACTGTGGCAACCCGATGACGACGACGTAGATGTGGGCATTTCGTGCATCGACGTGTCACCCGAAGATAAAGACACAATCATCTTCTCGACTTTAGATGGGAATCTAGGAAGAATAGATAGGCGCTCAAAAGACAAAGCAGATATGTGGAGTTTGTCCGATAACAAGATCGGCGGCTTTTCCTTAAATCCACTGCTTCCTCATCTTGTAGCCACAGCATCCCTCGATCGGACACTCAAAGTATGGGATCTACGAATGATTAAGGGGAAAGGGGAGCTTCGACATCCCTCTCTCCTAGGCGAACATCAATCGCGACTGTCAGTCTCACACGCCTCATGGAGTCGCGGCGGATACCTAGCGACGTCATCCTATGATGACACAATCAAGGTTTACGATATGTCGGACGCGATGAAGTGGAAACCCGGTCAAGATCTTTCCGACGATCAGATGAGACCGGCACACAAGATCCCCCATAACAACCAGACCGGCCGTTGGGTGACCATTCTCAAACCGCAGTGGCAGCACAACCCGGCGGACGGCGTCGAGAAGTTCGCCATCGGGAACATGAACCGGTTCGTAGATATCTACGACAGCGAAGGAAAGCAGCTCGGACAGCTAGATGGTGAAGGTATTACCGCGGTGCCCGCCGTTGCGGAATTTCACCCTACGTTGAATTGGCTTGTATGTATATCCCAGATTCGCCCTTCCCCATTGTCTTTATTGTGAGCTCGGTCTGGACATCTACGCTCCTTGATACGTCACAAAAATGACTGGGACTAACTCGAGGTTTTACAGGCTGGCGGAACTGGCAGTGGCAAGCTATGTCTTTGGATGTAAGGCAGATAGACGAGTAAAAGTGTACAATAACGGAGTAGTCTAAACCCGACACTCCACAGGGTTATATGGCTTTATAAGGTAACTGATCAGTGGCATCCATAGGTAAACCGTATGGGATTTTGCACTGGAGTCTTGGAGTTGGTGGCTTGGAGTCTAGGAATTGAACTCTCGGCCGGGTTAGTCTAGTAAAATAAAGAACTACACTTCAGTTCCATGCTCTCCTGAATATATTCGAAGCAAGCTTCAATTGTTAACTATGAAGACACCGCAAGGCCAATTACAAACCGTTATCGAAGGCGGAGTGCATGTAGAAGCCAACTGAATACATAATACAAAGCAGAACAGAGTCCATTATATGCCCGTTTCGTTTCAGTGTTCCCACTATACTAGCTAGAGGCAGTCGAGACTAAAGATGAAGTCAAGTATAGTAACTTTAATACTGTAAGTCATAAAAAAGCATAGGTAAGCATGTACATTAGGTAGCTTCATGTGCAACCTAGAAATCCATTCTCAGGTACGTCTATCTGTTCGTCGGCATGATGATCACCAATACTAGGAATATATACCAGTCTTAAACGGAACCAGACAGACGAGTTTGATGCCCTAATTTAATAACAAAATCCACGGACAGTTAAATTCAAGTCATGTTCCCTTTTTCTAGTATACTCATTAGACAATTTCACATAATTACCGAAACATCGTATTTATGGTGACTCTATTATAGCATTTATACTATATATACGCTGGCTGGGTGTATCCCAACCAGGTTTATCAACACCAATCATGCCCCGCTAGATAGGAGCTTGAACAGTGACTCGTCGCATGAGCAATATACCTTCGTGAGGCATTCGAAGGAAGCTGCTACTGCCTCTCGGTTACGGCGAAGTCGGCCTCTTTAAAGGTCTTATACATCTTCATCTTGTGTCGTTGAATACGGCGATTGTTCTCCTGGACGAGAGCTCGCAGAAATTGTAATGCCGTGGGGAAGTGTTAAAGGGGAGGTTATGCGGCGGCAGTGTTCAGTAATCGCGAGACAACACCAACGGGATCGATCCTACCATCGCCCGTAGAATTACAGAGCTCCACTTGCAGCAGGGCTATCATAACAACATCACATCGTCCTCTACTTCTGGATCTGGCTCCGCTCCTTCTTCCACCTGTAAGAAGTCGTGTGCCAGCGCCTCCTTGGCGCTGATCCTCCTATTGGGATCCAAATCCATACACCTCGTCAAGAACTCGATGGCCTCCTTCTCCTCATAGGTCAGGGTGTTCGACTTTCCGTCCTTACCGCCGTCGCTCCTACACGTACTCCACAGCATGATCTTCTCGAAGCTAAAGCCCCTCTCGCCAATGGTCGGTATCGTCGTTTCGAACATGCAGCCGTGCAGCTGACCCGCGTGCTTCATACGCTTGGAGCCAAATATGGTGGCGATTTCGATCATGGCCTCGATGTCGTCCGCGCTGTTGAAAAAAGGGAAGCGTCTGCAGAGGATGGTCAAGAGGATGACACCCGCGGACCAAATGTCGATCTTGGTCGTCTGCTCTGTGCACTTGAACAACACTTCGGGGGCCCGAAATCCACGCGTGCCCGCTCTGTTTGCTCGACGTGATGGTCGGGTATCATTCGCCGGATAGCCTAATTGGGGGCCTGCCTGAGCCGAGTTGAAGGCGACAGATTGTTGTAGTCTCTGCTTTCTAGCCTTCGAATCTTCTTGACAGAGACACGGCTTGGTCTCTAGTCCCTCCCGTTCGGCCAATCCAAAGTCTACCAAGACTCCTCGCTTCTTCTCCGGGTCGTAGAGGAAGTTGGTAGGTTTGATATCGCGATGGATTATGGCCCTGTCGTGTACGGCAGCGAGAGCGGTGAAGAGGGATTTGAAATATACCCTCATGTCATATACCGTCATATTAGGGTAGTATTTACGAAAATCCTGGTGGCGGAAGTACGGAAGAATAGCAAGAACCTGGTCAGCTTGGCGGAAGGCTGTGATGAGAGGACAGACAGAGTGGGAATCGCGCAGGTCATGGAGGAGCTCGAGCTCGTTGAGGATACGAGCAGGCGAGGAGGTCACATAAATTTTCTTGATCGCCACGAACTTTGGCTTCTGGCGGGAACGAGAGGAACGGGAGTTGGACCTCGAACGAGAGGCGCCCCTGAGCGGCGGGGGTCTCCATTGGTTCTCTGCAGCGTCGAGGTCCCAGCTATTATCATACTGGTGATACTGGATATCTTCGGCCTTGTAGACAGTTGAGAAGGTTCCTTCGCCAATGCGTTTTATCAGACGATATTTATTCTTGAAGTTTGGAAAAGTAGCTTCTAGTTTGTCCATGTCGTGCTGGACAGTGAGGTCAATCTCGTCGCTGTCATCGGAGGCCGTGTCACTACCGTCATCTTCGATCTGGTTCTCTTGCTCTTCATCCTCGACGTCCTCTGCCAATACATCTTCATGATCTTCGTGGTAATCATGATCGTCGTACTCATCGTCGGCTTGTTGGGTCTGACTCTGAGCAGACTCCTCGACATCTGAGATTGCGCCTACAACCTCGTCGCGGTGGATCTGGAAGGGCTGCTTGGCAACCCGACGTTGACTGGAAGCAGCCATGATTGAATTTGTATATTGCAGAGCGATACCTTGTGTCCGATACCCTACAGCGACGTCCCCCGAATAGACCCCAGCAAAATCTAACCCAATAAGGTTCTTCGTTGCTCTGTTATATCGCCGAGCTCCAACGAGGGAGACCTATCGGGGGCGGGATATGTACCTAGCAACCAGGACGCAGTTGTAACTACAAGGGCTAATTGATCAAATATTTCCTTTGAGAGAGATTGGAATTGTTCAGAAGATTGTGATGGGACAATGAGAAGACAACCAGGTTCAAAGTATGTGAGTTGAAGAAGCAATCGCGAGTATTGTTTTCTATGAGTACCTAGAGGTAGAAGATGAATTCCATTAAAGTCAAGTTGAGTTGTAATTAAGTAAATAAATACATTTGCGATGTACAGAATCTAAACAATAGATGCGCCGGGAATTCCTCGGGCATTCATTTGACGCGTTATTAGAATTTGGCAGGGGCGCGGGGTTTTGAAGGCGCGAATGATTGCCCTAGCAGCCTAGTACGTAGCCCCAAGGGAAAGCACCAAAAATTGCCTACATCGCTGCTGCCCCGGGCCTTTAACAGATTTGTCAATTGGAAGGCATCTGCAATCGTCAGGATGCCATTGCCTTTTGCAATGAATTGGGTATCGGAATAGCCGAAACTTTCCATAGAGATGGAACGGACTTGTCCTATTGAAAAAAATAACGTCAGGTATGACAAGATTAATAGTGAACATTTATGGTAGTGATTACATACAAATCTGCAGCAATGTTATGTACCTCCAATACAACATACCGGGTGACATATGTACGAACCTGATGTTGCTCTGACTTGCAGAATAACTACAAAGATGAGAAAATCGTTCATACGATTTGGATTTAGATTTGCCTATGGCAGCATCGTTGGTACCACCCACGGAATAAGACGTTGAAAATTGTAAAAAATTGTCAAAACCACGAAAAAAGATATCGACCTACAACGAATCGTCGTGATCTTGCGATATATATGCGGTGTATGTGGATCGAACACATGACCTTCAGATAAGAGATTTGGAAATCCAGTTGGTTACCGAAGTCATTAACTTCAGTCTGACGCTCTCCCAGCTGAGCTAACCCCGCTGTGAAAATCGAGCATTTGTCTTACATTATATTCATGTACCGGTGCTTGGCTGTAGCGCTAGCCGTCGAGAGTGTACGATAGGATTCACACTGTCGCACGGGCCATATGGAGGGGTACCTACCTATTAGAACTGTCCAGGCTGCCAGGTCACAGGTGGGCAGAGCAGCTAGGTACGGTAATTCGACTTACATAAGTCAAGTTATCAATCAAGCCATTAGGTACCTAGGTAGCCTGGTAGAATGAAGATATCAAGTCCAAACGATATTTCCAGGATGGGATGTCTTTCCCATGATCTCATATCTACAGATATTCAACCTTTCGATACAGACATATCACAGATTCAAAGCAGCAAGTTCGCAGGTTCGTTACCCAGGTATGTAGCAGTATCGATACATATGATAAATCCAAGAATCCATACATATCATGAGCTTTTTGACTACCTGATATAGTATCCAAGGCTTCATTCACATAAGTCACCTATCAAGCTGCTCCTGGAATACATACCTATATCAACTTCCATATGCTTACATAATTATGAATGTCATGTGATACCCCTCTCTAAAATCCAAATATTCCAAAATATTCCAAAATTCTGATTGGCTGACGTGTCGCGCATTATGTACAGATAAAGTGGGAAGCGTGTAACTAAACAAAAACAAATCGGTTGCTACGGGTCGCATCCCGCACTCACTAAATAATATCAACTTTACAACCTCCATATCATTGTTGTCGATCCCCTCATCATCCTTCTTTACAAGACGAGACAAAATCAAAATAACTTTTGAGATACCCCTATTGCAAGCGCAGTAGTCTTTCATCCATCTTCTTATTGAATGTTCCCAAGGACATATTGCACACATCATCCTTTAATTATTTCTCTCTTTTTATAATTTACTTCATTCGTTTTTGTATACATTCATCCGCTGCGCTGCCTTAGCGCAAGATACACCGCGGCAATGGAGCAGATCAACTTCGATATAAACGAGGCGCTGAAGCACTATATGAGTGATCCAGCTGCCGTCGCGACGCCAGAAGCAGATAGCGCGTTGGTCGATTGCGAGACCGACCCCGAAGCTCTATCCAACATATCTCTTCTCAACCCGATACTCAACCCAATCGTAGATGCCGTCGCCGAGAATCCAGATGCCATCATGCGCAGTGCCTACTTCGATTCGCTGCAGTTCCTTCTCAAGTGTGCACCCACTTCCATTGAGTCCCCTGATGACCTTGAATCTTCACAGTGTCCAAATTCGATGACGCGAGACCAAATTTCTAAGCTTTTCGTACAATCCAGATATACCCAGTTCCTGCCCACACACGCCCTCAGCAAGATCTTCGATCTGATCATGAGCGGCCTGGCAGCCGAAGCCGACGCCATCAACCACGACCTCGAAAGTCCCGAAGAGCAGGAGATGATCGCCCACCACAAGTCCTTACTCGAGATATATGGCTTTTTACTTCAGTGGACCATCGCCTGCGTCGAGACGAAAGCTGCCGAGAAGTCGTCTACCGCCCCCGTCTCGCGTGCCAGGGGTAAGGGCGCCAAATCCAAGGCTGCCGCTGCGAGCAAAGACAAAGATGGTAGTTGGGATAGCGCCGCCCAGCTGCAATCAACGTTAGATGTCATGTCCAAAGTTCTTAAGTTGAAGTTGGGCAAGATTTTCTTAACGACTAGCGAGCGCGACACATTTATCGGTCTTCTAACGAGGCCCGTATATATGATCCTGGAGAGCGAACAGAGAGTCAAAAATACAGCCATAAAAATGCATGCCTTCAAGGTTCTTTGCATTGCCGTGAAGCACCACGGCCATGGCTATGGTGAGCGACTATAAAAATAGAAAAGATACAACTGATGGAAATACTGACGCGATACTAGCGGCGCAGATATCTATCGTTCAGAACTTGACCTACTTTGAGCACCTCTCTGAGCCGATGGCCGAGTTCCTACACATTCTCGCCGAGCAATACGACTACCCGCAGTTGGCTGACGAGATATTGAGAGAGATTAGTAACAAGGAGTTCAACAGCAACGACACCAAGGGGCCCAAGTCGGTCTCGTCTTTCATCATCAAGCTGTCCGAGCTCGTTCCCCGCCTGGTGATCAAACAGATGACGATGCTAGCGAAGCAGCTAGATAGCGAGGTACGTTCAAATCCGGGATGTAATAAACTAACCTAACCGACATTAGTCGTACACTCTGAGATCCTCCTTGATTGAAGTTTGCGGCAACATGATTACCCATCTTACCACCCAAGAAGAGCGTAGCGAAAACCACAAATCACAGCTCAATGCGTTCTTCGACGTCTTGGAGGAGCGCTTCCTGGACATCAACCCTTATTGCAGATGTCGAGCGATGCAGGTCTACACTAGGCTCTGTGATCTGGAACAGAAATTCCCAAAACGCCGACAGAAAGTAGCTGAACTCGCATGTCGAAGTCTAGAGGACAAGAGCAGTCACGTCAGGAGAAACGCCATAAAGCTCATAGGAACTCTCATCAAGACCCATCCCTTTACCGTGCTACACGGAGCCCAGCTCAGCCGTAAGGACTGGCAAGAAAGACTTGACAAGGTAGATGCTGAATTAGACGCCTTGAAACCACCAGCCGGAGAGCCCGGGTTGGGAGAAGACAAAGCCAACAGCACAGCATTGGTGGACGAGCCGACGCAGCTGGAGTCACCCCAAAAGCCTTCAGAGATGACCGACGAAGAGAAGGTAGCAGCAATTCAAAAGGCTCAGGAAGACGCGGCCACGTCGGAAGCTATCGAAAAGTTGACTCTGACCAAGCGGTATTATACCGATGCCCTCAAGTTCATTGAGGTGCTACGCGAGGCTACATCTACCGTGTGCCAGTTGCTTGGATCCAGGAATAAGTCCGAGGTCATCGAGGCCATGGACTACTTAGAGATTGGCAATGCTTACAACATTGAAGATAACATGGTTGGAATTCGACGAATGATGCGTCTCATCTGGACCAAGGGCAACAGCGACGAGGGCAAGGGTGTGCAATCGCATCTCATCGACTGCTACAGACGATTATTTTTCGAGGCGCCAGACAGCTTCGCTCCGAACGATGCTGCCATCTACATTGCAAGAAACATGATTAGTCTCACTTCGGGTACAACGCCGGCGGAGCTGACGAGTTTAGAGCAACTTCTCGCAACCATGATGAAGGGCGGTATGATCTCTGACCGAGTTATCACGAAGCTTTGGGAGGTCTACGGTTTCCACAAGAGAGAGATCTCTCGATCCCAGCGACGAGGTGCCATCATCGTGCTAGGCATGCTTGCGACAGCCTCCCCTGAGATCGTCGTCGGCGAGATGGAGACTATGCTGCGAACGGGTCTCGGCTCCTACGGCAAGGCTGATCTGCAACTGGCCAAGTTCACGTGTATCGCTCTACGAAGGCTGAACCCTACTGGCCGACAAGTCAAAGATTCGACGGTCAAATTCAGTCGTCTCCCGAACGAGCATGCCGTGTTGGCAAAGTTGGCGGCAATCACTGAAGTGCCAAGCGATAGCAAGGAGTGGTTTGGCGTGGCCGAGCAGGCAATCAATGCCATCTACGTCCTGGCCAAGCACCCCGACACGCTATGTACTGAGATTATTCGACGCAGGACCAAGGTTGTGTTCCCTGTGCAACAAAAATCTCCCTCCGCATCTCGCCCAGGGTCGCGCGACTTCGATCCAACCATGACTGCCGCAGTTGACCAAGGAATGACCCAGGGCATCACCATGGGTCTTGATGCTCCCACTCAAACCATCAACCGACTACAGTCGGAACCACCAGTGGAGCCGAAGCAAAAGGCCGCGATTGCACTCTCGCAGCTCCTGTTCATCGTCGGCCACGTAGCGATCAAGCAGATCGTCCATCTTGAGCTTTGCGAACTAGACTTCAAGCGCCGAAAGCAAGAAAAGGAGAGGGACTCAGCTGCTAAGCCCGCTGATCCACGACTTTCCATAGGCCGCAAGGGTAAAACGCCTACTCCTGCTCCGGAAGATGCGGGGGACGAACTTGACCTGATCGGTGGCACTACGGAAGATGATTTCACAGAGGCGATGGCGCATATCCGCGAGCAGGAGCTCTTGTTTGGACCGCAGTCGATACTGGCCAACTTTGGTCCAATGGTAGCAGAGATCTGCTCGCGCAGCGATATATATAAAGACAAGGGCTTGCAGGCGGCGGCGACGCTGTGTCTGGCGAAGCTCATGTGCGTCAGCAGCGAATACTGCGAGGCTCACCTGCCACTGCTCATCACCATCATGGAGCGGTCGCCGGACGCGACGGTGCGATCCAACGTGGTTATCGCGCTCGGCGACATGGCCGTCTGCTTCAACCACCTCATCGACGAGAACACGGACTTCCTGTACCGCCGGCTCGCCGACAGGGACCTGTCCGTCAAGCGGACGTGTCTCATGACGCTGACGTTCTTGATCCTGGCCGGTCAGGTCAAGGTCAAGGGCCAGCTAGGCGAGATGGCTAAATGTCTGGAGGACGAGGACAAGCGCATCGCGGACCTGGCGCGTATGTTCTTCACGGAGCTAAGCACCAAGGATAATGCGGTCTACAACCACTTCGTTGATATGTTCAGCTTGTTGTCGGCGGACCGCAGGATGGAAGAGGAGGCGTTCAGGAGAGTTATCAAGTTTTTGTTGGGATTTGTCGAAAAGGTATGTCCGCCCCTATCCACTCTCCTAACGAGCTCTACGGTTTGGTTCCAGATGAGAACACCTTCCACGATGCTAACAACGGACTATAGGACAAACACGCCAAGCAGCTCGCAGAAAAACTTGCAGCTCGTCTCCCCCGCTGCGAGTCGGAGCGCCAGTGGAACGACGTTGCGTATGCGCTAGGCTTACTGCAGCACAAAAACGAAGATATCAGCAAGGTTGTAAGCGAAGGGTTCAAGGTCGTACATGCTTCTGCTTAGGTCAATAATGACGCGTATGACTGTCTAGGGTAATGAATGACTTGATCTTTGTCACGTGTGGATTGATTGA